GGTATCATATTAGCAATCGAAGGACAAGAAAATAAAGAACAAAAGTATAATAAAAAAACGAAAGCAATTTATCATTCACAAGACCGAAGAAAACTTAATAGTAAAACTAATGCTGATTCTGTTTCCAAAACAAGGTACCTTCCATCGATATAATACAGTCAGTACGGACTCTATTCCCAAAAGGGGATACACTCAGCTGGCTTTTTTCAGAAAACAACACCGATGCGAACTCTGCCACCCACGGATAACAGTCCCAGCACCCACCGGTGTAACCAGTGCGGACTCTGTTCCCAAAAGAAGATAGTCCCAGCACCCACTAATTAACTAATGCGGACTCTATCTTCAAAAGGAAACAGTCCCAGCACCCACTGGCTTCTTTCAGAAAACAACATAGGACTCTATGACTAAAGCCTATCACAAAATGCCAAGCAACAGGCAATAGGAATAGGGAATAGAATTTTTGACGCGTTGGATTCGTCGGAAATTTTCTTCCAACCAATCCAACGCGTCAGAAATTCTATTCCCTGTTTCTGTTGCCTGTTGTCTGGCATTGTGTGATAGGCTTAATGGGTGGCAGTCCCTGCAATCACCGGTGTAACCAATACGGATTCTACTTTGAAAAAGAAACAGTTTCAGCAAATTTTAAACATTTTATTTAATGAAGACTTGTTGTGTGTGTCGTTCTTAACCTATCTCTTAGTAACCTGACTGGGTGTTGTACTGACGTAATAATTTAATAATTTAACAATTGCATCCATGTTAAAGCTGTTGTATGTTATATTTTAGATAAAATATTTGCACGTTTCAGGTTACATTTGTAGTTTCTTACCTTTCCACATTCAAAATAGATGTCTGCTAAACTTATCCAAAAGGTAGAAATGGTAGCAATTACATCTTCGTCCTTGGAATCTCTGTACTTCACAACATGTTCCTTGGCAGTGGTAATCCAATCGTAATCGATTTGTCTCAATGATATACAACGACTCGTGGCTGTAACAAGATTTATATCAACTCATCAATGAAACATTTTCTTCTCTTAATTACGATAAATGCTAAATTATTATAATGGTTAACTTACTATAAATAATTGTACGATCGTTTATTTCTAATGCCAACTTGTATGCCAATGTCCATATTTCAGCCTCGCAGTCTTCATACCGATATAATCGAGCATATTCACCGGCCGTTATCAGCATGCAAAGTATAAGCTTAGGCTCCCAATCCTTGACAATTTTTTTCTATTGACAATAAAGTACGCTCACATGATTACTGGGCTACAAGCTTTCGATAATAGCCCGACACAATAAATACTCTCTAGCAACTTACAAAGTAGCGACTAAACAGTTGCTTCCACTTCTTCAAACAGTTTTGCAGATACAACTTAAGATTGGTGTCCTTTTTTACATTTATCATAGTGTAAGCAGGAACTACAATTGGAGATTTGTTCTCGACTAGATCTCGTAGCTTGGGAGCGCACAGAGCAAACGTTGTACTTTCTATTTCCAACTCGCAAGTTCTTCGCAAAGGTAAAAAGACTTAAATTAGCTTCCAAGCACAGAACAGCTACAGAGTTCGACTTTTTCTGCTTCAAATCGTGTATAGCAT